TTTACGAAACAGAAACAGACTCACAGACACAGAAAACAATCTTATGGTTACCGGGGAGGAAGGGGATGAGATGGGATAAATTGGGAATTCGAGATTTGCAGATACTAACTAATATATATAAAATAGATAAACAAGTTTAAGTTCATATTGTATAGCCCAGCCAGGGAACTATATTCAGTATCTTGTAGTAACTTATGGTGAAAAGAGTATGAAAACAAATATATGTATGTTCGTGTATGACTGAAGCATTACGCTGTACACTAGAAATTGACACAACATTGTAAACTGACTAAATGTTAATAATAAAATATATATGCCAAAAAATAAATAAATTAAAAAAAATAAAGTAAAAGTAGATACACAATCCACAGAGTGAGGGCCATCTCACTCAGGAGGGAGCAGCCACGAGACACAGCGTTATTAGTTTTTATGTGCTCAGCAGCTTCATATGCTAACAAGTGGGAGGATTATTCCAAATATTTTGGGGAAGGGGCAGGGATTCCCAGGAATTGGGCCACCACCCTCTTTCAGACCTTTTATGATCAGCCTGAGAACTGTCATGGCACCTGTAGGAGTGTCATTCCCCATGCTGATACATTACAGTGAGTGTATAATGAAGCTCAAGGGCCATTGGAAGTCAAATCTCCCGCCACCTTGGGCCTCCGGGTCTACTGGGAGTTGAGTTTTCAGCCGTCTTGGTGCTAACTGCTGAGTCATTCCCTTAATGACTGTGCCCTGCCCCCTTCCCTCCTGTCTCATTTTCATCTGAGAATGAGAAAGAAAATCTGATCAGGAATTGAGACCCCCATGGCCACCCCTCCCCCTCCCAGCGGCCCCCGACCCTACTATGTAGGGTGCTGATGTAAATGGAAGGGAAGGCAGGCCAGAGGGATCAATGTGGGCCTGACATCTTCCGAGGTGATCGTGGGAAGTGCCAGGCAGTAGAGGAGGTGTGAGCACCCAAGAGGAAAGAGAAAGCTCCGGTGGAAAGGCCTTTTTCCCAGTATCTGGGAGAGGAAACACTGGCCCCTTCAGTTCCCAGGCTGGGCCAGTCTGAAGGGAGACCTTTCTGATGTTAATTCTTCCTTCCTCAGAGGGGAGACCAGTGACCATTAGGAGGGGCAGAACTGGCCAGCTTTATTTACATCTAGTCCTGATAATATTTACTTAGGGCTGAGCATCCCTTGACCCGGGGGAGCCTGGATTCTGGGTGAAGTCCTGACAGGTAACAGGCAAGAATGCCCTGCCAAGAACTTTAAGTTCAGGCCAGTTCGCCACCCTCACCCATTACAACTTGTATGATTTCAGGCTATTGCCTGGAAACCCGAACCCCAAGGGTGGTAGGGAGGGCTCAAGGAGGTCACAGGTGACAGGACTGGCGCAGGACTCAGGGCACAGGATGTGCCCCATGAATGGTGGCAGCTGCTGCTGTATTATGTATTGAACTTTGCACTCCCAGGGATCATCTTCTAAAGTTCTGCTAGTTGGGTAGCGACGAACTAGGGTTCACAGCCAAAGCTACAAACATTTTCTTACAGGCTCTGAAAAAGGGGTGGAAATCAGCCCAGCCAAAGGCTCCCCCAGCCCCACGATCCCACTGGTGGGGCTGTGCTGGACGACCTGAGTGGACCTAGAGTGGCTCCAGCCTCCTTCCCCCTTGACTGTGACCCTGAACTCCACTCTTCTGCTGGTGGTTTCAAGGTTCTCAGAGAAGGAAGCCAAGGTTTCTCCCGGATGGGTCCTCCTCACAGGGGTGGGAGTTCCCCAGGCCTCCCAGCTGGTTAGCGAGAGGGAGAGAATCCACACACCAGGATGGGAGCCCCGGAGGGCAGGGAGCTTCACACTTGGTCCCCCTCGGCATCCCACGCTCCAGGCACAGCACAGCAGGCATCAAGCCACGCAGGCAGCCTCCCTGGGAGGTGCTGGTTACATGCCCTCACAAGATCTCTCAGTTCGTTCTGGGAACAACCCCAGAGGCTGGGAGTGTCCTCCACACGGAATCAGAAGCTCAAACAGGTTCAGGGAGTTGCCCCCACCATCCTAGCCATTAAGGATGAGAGCAAAATGATAAGTCCAGCTGGCTACTTACCCTGTGAGGACGGGGACCACATCCATCTTGTAGAACATTGCAGACGCCCTTCACAACAGCCAGCATAAAGTCAATACTTAATAGTTCTTTTTTTTTTTAAATGAATGCATAAATGGCTAAAACGTCCAGAGCTTTCTACACCACAAGCAGGAAGTCTCAGGTACAGTCACGAGGATCCTGCAGCCCCAGAAAGTCTCGGTGACGAGTACATTGATCTGGGTGCAGGAATTCCCAGGGATGTGGGTGTCAGGCCAGCTTCGGCCTCCCTTCGTCGAACCGCCTGTTTCTCCACAAATGCTTTTGTCTCCATCATTCCTTCTGCTACTTAGTAATTTAATTCCAGAGCCTTTCCGCTAAAGATCTGTATGATCAACAAGACTTAGCTTTTTCGTCCAACGGCAGAATTGAAGTCAAAGAGTGAATCCCTGAGGGGGATGCTTTCTGTAATAAAGAACAGTACCGCACCCCCAAACCAGTTTTTTTCCCTTAAAAAGATTTTTTTAATTATTATTTTTGGGGCTTTTTGGGGGGGGAGGGGAATTAGGTTGCTTTGCTTGTTTGTTTAACTGAACCCAGGACCCTGTGCATGCTAAGCACGCACTCTGCCACTGAGCTATACCCTCTCCACTAGTTTTTGCATTAAAAAAGAAAACTCTTTGGCTTTTTGTAGTTATTGAGGCCACAGGGTGCTTCCTACTTGTCCCCAAAGGGGCACTGCTCAGATGTCCAGCAGATATGTGTCTTTCTGAGGAATCATGGGAGACAGATTTTGAGCCATTTGATGAAGAAGCCAGGAAACTACTCTGTGGAGAGCACCCGCCGAAGGCTGTCTTCCTTCGCAGTGCAGCACGGAGGGGCAGAGCAGGCACCGTGCAGGGATCCTCCTGGGTTCCCCGGGGGCTCAGCCACTCACTGGCTGTGTGGTCTGGGGCGAGTCTCAGCCTCTGGGGCCCGTGCAGTGGGAGCGGCCGAAGTAGACAGAATGTGATGAGGGCTCAGCGTGCTTTCAACGGTGATCAACAAAGACTGGAACCCAATCTGCTTTATAAGCCTCTGCTTGATTCAGAACCAACCGTGCAATCACGGGCACAATGACAGTTTAATGTGCGGATAAGATTTGAGGTGGGAGAGAGAGAGCCAGAACAGAGCGAGAGAGCCCTCCAGCTATAAAACGGTGCTTGGGCAGTGGTCTTCAGGGAAGGGAGGAAGCTGTGCAGACCAGAGCGGGTGGGAAGCAGGGAGCACACCCTCCTCCAACTGTGTCCTTGAAACCTGCTGCAGAGGCGCCACATCCAAGAGCTGTGTCCCCTCCAGGGATCTGGAGGTTAGGAAATGTCCTGCAGAAAGAAGCCTGTAATCCCAGCTAGACCTGGGCATCAGGGGCCCACCAGGGTCGTGTGAAGGTGAACCTGGGACTTCCCCTGCTTGAGCTCCCTTCCTTCCTCAGGACACAAAGAAAGGTCCTTAAAGAATGTCTACAGTCCCCGTCGTTGAAGACTGATTCCACACACACGTACCCACTACGTGCTGAGCCCGGGAGGCAGCGGAGCACGAAACAGATCAAGCCCCCATCTTCATGCTGCCTCACAGTGCCTCCCTCCTCCCTCTCTTAAAAGCAAGGCTGTTCTATTCGTGGCTGCATCTCCAGTCTCTGGCACAGAGCAGAGCTCAAGAAAACTGAATGAATGAATGCAAGCACGTTCCTGACAGGCTGACTCAGTTTCCGAGTCCAACTCTGGACTGGAGGCGAGGCTGTGCGGTTGTTTTCTTCAGGAGGAAATTGTAAAAATGCCTCCGAGGTCAGAGGTGGCAGTCGGCCAGCTGGGTCACACACCGGCTTCCCTTCTGGCTGCGAGGACTTCCCGTCTCAGGATGGAGCAATGGGTGTGAGGACTGCACACGATGACTCCGGCAAAGCCCGGGTTCCTTTCTGTTCCTCTTCACAAGGGACCCACATAATTTCACTGACTGTAAAAGCAGGGGCCGTGGGGTGGGGGCCCCTTGTCATGTGCACGGCTGGCATCTGGGGCCACGGTCCAGCATATGCTTTGTGCAGAGGAATGGACTTCTCCCCTGTAATGAAGGTCACTGCTTTGCAGAATGCCCGCTCCCAGCTCACCAGGCTCTGTGCCAGACCTGACCGGGCTGCCGGCTGCAGGAAGAGCAGAGAGCCAGCCTAACACAGAGTGTGAGGAGCAGACGGGGGGCCTGACATCAACGTCCCAGTCATCCTCCTGCTGCGTGTGTGAGCCGGGCTGGTCTCCTAACAGTAAGGACACTCGGATTTTCTCAGAAGGGCGACTGGCCTGTTCTTGGCATGTGCCAAGACCTGTTGGCAATGCCCGGCTTGAAGGGTGCATCTTTAGGGGAGGGTCTTGATCTCCTTTGTGCCCCCACTGTCTCACAGGCTCAGCACATAGTAGGTTCATGTGTGTGGTATGAACCATCGCCAACGACATGGCCTGTAGACACCCCTACTGTCCACCCCCGACTCCTCGAGGCTGAGCCCAGCGTGTGGCACACGGCAGAGGTGGAATAAATGTTTTTTGAATGTTCTACCCATGTAGGGTCAAGGGCTCCTGGACCCTGCCTGTTCAATTAACCCATGCAGCTTAAGAGCCTCCCTCCCCCACAGAAAAATCTCAGAGACCAGAACCCCAGCCCCTGGACAAACAGGTCTGAGCACTAGACTTGCTGCGGCAAATGGTCCAATTTCTGACATTCCAGCCCAGTCAGCTGACAGGCACGTCACACAAAATCCCTCCCCCAAATAGTTCTAAGCCTGCCAGCCTGCAGAGATGGGGACAGGAAATGGAAAAATCACCACGTCCTCACTGTGCGGTAACACTGGAGGTCCGAGCCCGGATCTGCTCAGCGTGGCCCTCAAGTGACAGGCCACATCTTCCAGTCGGCCCTGTGCTGTGTGGCCACCGCCCACACGCCATTGATTACAGGATGCACCACTGATGCTGCAGTGGAGGAAACAATAAACTATGGTCATACGAAGTGCACACATCAAAGGTAAGACCCATCCTGGTTTCTGAAACGTGAAACCACTGCAGGGAGGAAATGCAGGCCTCCTCCTGGCCACTCTTGTGTGAGACGCAGGGGATGTTAAATTATTTCCAGCCACATTTCCTTGCAGTTAGGGGTTTAATCCTACAAATAAGTCTCTTGCTTTGTCTGAAGTGCACCCCTGAACAAGATCACGTGGAAAAATTGCCCTCTTTGCATCCGCTGCCTGCAGTGAGGGGTCTCAAGCATTCCTGGCTCTGGGGAGAGCTGGTGAGCCCTCCCTCAGCCTTGTCCAGGAGGGACATTCAGGGGGATTAGGGCTGCTTTCAAGTTTCCAAAATCTCCACCGGGGCGACCCCTGCTCCCCACCCTGCTGTCAAACGAGCTGCTTCTCAGAATTCTGCAATAGTAATCAAAGCAGGGGGAGGGGGCGGGAGGGCATAGCTCAGTGGTGGAGTGCGTGCTTAGCATGCACGAGGTACTGGGTTCAATCCCCAGCAGTTCCATTAAAAAATAAAATAGTAATTATGAAGCAGAAGGAGGGGAGGGCTGCAGGGGTGAGTGAGGGGAAGTGAAGGCGGTTTACTGGGAGAAAGACTGGCCTCTCCTGGAACCTCCTGGGGCCTAGAGGCAGTGCCTTTTTTTTGGTACCTGTCCTAAGACATGAGGCTATTGATTTCTAGCTCAAGGAGCCTTAAAAGCAATTGGTCTGGGAACTCATTCCTCACCTGGGGGTCCTGGCCAGGACACGGCAGGACGGTGGGAAGCAAAGGCTCTCCCCTGGGAGCACAGGGGACGCCCCACACAGACAGCGATGAGGGGCCGGACAGGGGAGGGCCTGCTCCTCCCCTCCTCTGAGGGTGTGCTGCTCAGATGGGGAAGCAGGATTCCAAGGGCTCCCTCGCATTAAGTTCAGAAGTTAAGAAAAAAGAAAAAAGGGATCTCCTCAGCTGCTGGTTAAAACCTCTGCAAGACAATTCAGTGCTACCTACCAAAATCTTTAATGCACACACCTTGGACCAAGGCAACCCCCACTCTGGGAATTTATCTCGCAGACTTACTTCAGTGTGCAAAGATGCGGGGAAAAGGATGCTTGCTGTCATACTGTTCTTGGCAGTGAAAAAAGTGGGTGGCTATGTAATTGTCCCCTGACAGAGGAATCCCTCAACAGATGGCAGTGTTTATAGTATGGAGAATTTTGCAGCCGGTAAAAAGAGTAAGTTAAATCCACACAGGCTGATGGGAAGGATGTGCCCTAATGTGCTAAGAAGAAAGTTCCTTTGAGGTTAATCCATTTGTGTTAATGTATTCGATTCTGACCATTCGCTGTGAATACTGATCTGGTGGCTACACAACCACACCCCCAGGGGGAGAAGCAGGGTGAGGTTTCTGCGCGCCTCTGATCACAGTCGATCAACACATAACCTCTTTGGTGTATTTCTGTTTAATATACGGCTGATCCATGACCACTGAACTCACAGCCAACAGCACCGTCCCCCATTCCTGAACAAAGCTTATCTAATATGCGTGTTCTCCTAAGGCACACCCATCGCAGCCTCCCTGAACGCAGGAACACGGCGCTGCATTTCAGCACCATGGTCGGGGGGCATTTTCAACAGCAAAACCACCAACAAGCAGAAAAATGAGAAGATGTGACACTAGACAGAGGGAGAAAAGGACGCTGGTGTTAAGCACGAGAGTGAACCCAGGAGGCAGTGCTGCCGTGCTCGAGCCCAGCTGGGAAGATGCACGCTGGGCGACTCACGTCTTTTGCTGCCCCGCACGTGTCCATAAATAACCCCGAAAGTTCCAGGAGTATTGCTTCTGGAGTTAGAAATAAATTTTAGCGAGTAGGTGCATTTGCATGCACGGACTCTTGGAATCCTGAGGGCTGACGGTGTGTTTGTATATTATACGCAGAACATTTCTAGAAAACACACTCTATAGATTTTGGAAGAAGATACAAGAAACTGTTTCCAGAAGTTATCTCTGGAGAGCGGGCTAGGCAACAGGTTTTTAAATTTTATTCTTTGAATCCCATTTACAAGTGAGCATGCCATTTCTAATTTTAAAAATCTGCAGCCAGGAGATGGGCCTTTTCACAGGTAGCACAGCGTGACAGGGCTAACTGACCCAGCCCTGCAGGAGACCCGCGCCCAGAGAGGGGTCCTTTCCTTATAGAAAGGCCTTGGGCCCACCCTCTTGCTTGACACTTCCCTCTCCTGGGGAAGAGGAGGAGGGCTGAGATGAAGGCCAGCGTCGGACTCAGGCCCACCTACAAAAATCTGAAGTCAGACCTTTACCCCCAAGACACATGCACTTGTCACCCTTGGCTTCCACTTTTTTCACAAACCAGAAGCCGTTGGCCGGGGGGCAGGACAGGGCTCACCTACAGCTCAGCACTGAGAAACCTTGTTTTCCCACGGAGTCGGGAGGGGTCTGGAAGTCACAGGGAAAGAAAACAGAAGTTTGCAAATAGAAAGTATGATGGGATTGGGATTAGGTGAAAAGAGGGGGGAAAGAGAATGGAAAAGGGAGGAAGAGAGGGAATCTGGTAATTTTGCTTACTGGGCAGTTTATCTCTGATTCATTCCCTTTCCGCACCCCTGGGTTTCTTTTCCCAATTATGGAAATACATAACAAGTACATGTAGGTCTGGAAGGATATACTCCAAACGTGGGAGTGGGATACAGGTGTGGGGGGAAACTGACTTTTTACACTAGGTGAGTCTGTATCTTTTGGATTTTGTTCTAACACTAAAAATGTATCTCATACTTTTTGTACCATCAGCATAAGGGCTTACATTTAAGACCACGCTACTCTGGCAAAATACCACCGGGCATGCCTCTCGCCTTCCTGGCTTTCTTCCTCTCCCCCGCTCCTTCCTCAGGCTGGTCCACGCCCTGGGGCTGAGGACTCTGCACCCAGTCATCTCTGAGCGGCAACAACCAAGCAAAAGCAAAACTCCAAGTTTCCTTAAAAAGTCCAACCCAGAATGACCATACATGACCAGGAATTCTCCACCTAGGTTAATACCCCAAAGAAATGAAAGCAGTTGTTCAAACAAAATGCACACCCAGTATTCCCAGAAGCACCAATCCCAGTAGCCAAAAGGCTAAAACAACCCAAATGTCCATCAGCAGATGAATGAATAAACAAACTGTGGTCCATCCACACAGTGGAGCATTACTCAGCCAGAACAAGAACTGAAGTGCTGATTCATGCTCCAACACCGACGGGCCTTGAGAACACAACATAATAGAAGCCAGACCCCCGAAAGTCACAAATTGTATGGTTCCTTTTCACACAAACTGACACAGAACAGACGGGTGGTTGCCAGAGGCTGGGGGAAGGAAGGGACGGGAAGTGACTGCTTAAGGGGAGCACAGGCGCCTTTTGGGGTGATGGACATGTTCTGGAACTGGGGAGCAGCGACGGCCGCACACAATGTAAATGTGATAAATGCCACGGAACTGGACACTTGACAATGGTTAAAAAGCTGGATTCTATGCTGTGATATGAATTCTACTTCAATAAAAAAAAAAAAAAGCAAAATTCCGAGCTGTGTGACCCTGAGCCTCTCTGAACCTACACAACGGGCAGTTGACAGCCAGACCGCACAGGCCGGCTGTGAGGCTTCCACGTGACGTGGGCTGGGCATGCGGAGAGGGACCCGCCGGTGACGAAGCTGCTGCCCGCCGGGATGCGGTTATCATGAAGCACCGTCAATGCCATCTCACCTGCAAGTCATGGGGTCCCCGCGTGGCCCAATTATCTTTTTAATTAAACAACAACAAGCTGAAAGACTAAATACGAGAGAGGCGAGACTCCATTTGTGGTGTATCTATAGCTAGGGTATATTTAAAGTAGGATCCTCTCCGGAGTCCAGGTAGGAAATGCAGTTAACGTGGTCACAGAGAGGCAAACGGGCGGCTCTGCCACGGGGCCACCATGGAATGACCTACAAGCTATGGCTTTTCTGCCTCCTTCGCAGGCCTGGAGTCACGGGCCCTGGGCTGGCCCCTGCTTCACAGGGGCAGAGATGTGTAGGTGAGAGGGTTCCACCTGCCCCAAGCCCTTACCCAGAAGCGGCTCTCAAAACCTAAGAATGGATAAGTAAGGGCAAGGTGAACTCTCACCCTTCTTATCTGGGAATTATTTGCTATGAAATTAGCAGATCTCAACCCGCCCTGAGGCAAGGTGACCCGCCTTGTGGCCGACACTCCGCCTGGGGAGAGGGGAGGCGGGTAATGAATATGATTTCAGGCTGTCATGGAAACTTTTATTTCCTGGGGCCTCTGAGCGTATGGCAGGTGTCCTGAAAAGTCCGCTCCTGCCGCCCGAGGCTGGCTGCTGCCCTCAGACATGTGGGGTGGGGGGCGTCTGCTTCTCCATCTGAAAGAACCCCTCCCTCTGCCCTGGCGGCGGCAGCGGCACAAAGGAGTCCCCAGGGTGCGCCTCTTGTCCCAGCTCCCCAGACAGACGCCAAGGGAGCCTCCGCGGCCCGATGGAAATACAAGTCCCCAGCCCCCAGGGGCCGCGATACAGTCCACAGATCACAGACAGCAGGAGGCCAGAGGCCACGGCGCAGACATCTCTAGGGTCTCCTGAAATGCGAGGCTCATCTCGCCCCCCACTGACGGGCATGTGTCCAGAGCCCCCCATCTCTTCCCAAGACGAAAAGGGAGCTGTGTGCAGGTGTGGTTTAGGACACGTAAGCAGTGAGCAGACTGGACTCCCAGCAAGACTGGCTCCTCTGTATAACACAAGAAATTCAACTCGCCCCAAGATAGAGAAAACCACAAATCAGGAGGCTGTAAACCCAAAGCAGCCAAAGGGTTTATAAATAACAGCGAGTGGAAAGTGCCAGGGTGGAAAACAAGACAGAATTTTGTCAAGACTCTGAAGCCACGTGTCTGGAACTGGGTGATGGTGCTGGAGGGTTCACAGCTGCGTGCCAGGGACGGACAAAGCCACAGGAGGAAATGGGCACCGTCTGCTCAAGGCATCTGCAGTCATCAAGGACTGGGGAGGGTCCCCAAAAAAGAAATAGGACAACAGCACACTGTAGAGGAGACTGTAAAGTCTGAGTGAATTCGGAGGAGAAAATACTGGACCATCAAGGAAATGTGACTGCCGCTGGTCACTGTGGTGTCACTTCACTCCTCTGCATGAAGGGCAGCTGGGAGACGTGTGGGAGACCAGCTCCGAAAGAACCCCGAGCTCCATTCATTTCCTTTAGTCCATAGACACCTTTTTTTGGAGACCTTACATCATGCCAGGCTCCTTTCCCTCCCTGAAACTCACTGCTTAGTGGGGAAGGCGGGTGATAATTAAAATCTGGGCAGAGAAACAGCATGTGCAAAGATGGGAGACAGGAGGTGGCTTGGCTGGAACCCAGGGATCGAAGAGGAGAAAGGCATGAGGTCAGAGAGGCAGGACCCTGATGGCTGGTCCTTATCCTAAAACTGTTGGTAAACCAAGGGGGATTTTTAATGACAGGGTGGCACGGTGGACTGTGTTTTAAGCAGATGACCAGAGCAGCAGCCTCAGCACATAGTATTTCCTACTAAGGCAGACAGACGGATGGTCAATGCTATGCCGTGTTTTTCGCAAAGCCTCATCGGAAGCTAAAAACTCCAAGAAACCTGTGCCCACGCCTGGTGACTACAAATGGGTCCTGCTTGGCCCCGTGCAAGCAGTCACGTCTCTGAACACCTCTAAGAACTGTGGTTGCTGGGTTCCCCTCCCAGCACATTCAGAGGCCCTGTGCCAGAAAGCAGGTGCCATGCAGCTAAGACACAGGTTCTGGCGTCACGTAGTTCTAGGCTCAAATCCTATCTCCTACAGGCAAGCTGGGTGACCCAAGGCAAGTTTCTTAACCTCTCTGTGCTTCAGTGAAATGAGGTAGTAAAAGTATCTGTCCTCTAGGGTCACTGTGTGGATTCATTAAGATCAAGCTGCTAAAATTCTCCCTTAGTCTGGTACATTATAGATGCTAAAGAAAATGTTGGTTATTATTACTATAGTTCGCATTCAGCTAAGGATAAACACAGAAGACGTGCAAAGACCACAGAGGCGTGGAATGACCCAGGAGAGCCCTGGGGAAGAAGGAGAGGTCCGCGTACTTGCGAGCAGGAGGCAGGAGACGGCCACGGCGTAGAGCTGCTTGGAGGCGGTGATGTTATAGCGATCCAGGAAGTGGTCCAGCAGGTAGACGGCCAGGTGCCGGGCGGCGGGGCAGAGCTGGCAGTGGCTGCTCAGCAGGGTCAAGATGTCGACAAAGAACCGGCGGCTCTTCAGGAGCGGGGAGTGGGCTCGGAAGGCGGGCAGCTTCAGCTCCTGGAATAGGCAGGACACAAGCGGGGTCAGGGCTGCCTCCCGAGAGGTAAGGGGGCACCAATTCCCGCCAAACCCTGTTCGTTTTCCTTCAAGTCCCCGGCTGGCAGCCCCACAGCCCAGAAAGTCCTGGACTGTCTCCGCCCTCACTGAGCACAGGCTCGGGAAGTGTCAGGAACGTGACGACAGGGCAGGAGGCAGCTCAAAGAAGCCGGCCATTCCCAGGGAAAGGTGGAGTGCCTGAGTTGCACAAGGCCATAAAACAGGTAGGCCTTGAGGTTGGAGACCCACCTCCAAATTCTGGTTCTTCTACTCAACTAGGTTGGATGACCTTGGTCACCCGCCTTCACCTTCCTTTCCTCCACAATAGCTAGAGGATGGAAGGAAAAGTGGATGTGCGCTCCCATCCTAGCACACAGCAACCTCTCGGTCCTTGGCTTAATTCCCTCTGTGGGTGGGATTGCGAGAGACACTGTTTTCAAAAACTTCAAAGTGAAAAAAGTTGTTAAGAGCACAAAGAACTCCCCAACAGCCTTCACCCAGATTTTACCTTTTCTCTCTCTGCACACACACATTTTTTTTTCTAAAAATAAGTGCTAGACATAATATGTCCCCCAAGGAGGGGACTTTTCGTTTGTAGTTTATACACTGCTGTGCCGTCTGAATTAAAAACCAACAAGATATTATTACCCAACCAAGATTTTTATGATGGAAAAACTTTTCTTGTGTATCTACCATACTTACAATTTAACCAAAGTAGACCAGTAGACCAGACACGATTTATTTAGGACGTGTCTTTGCAACAGTCTGTTAAATACGGGAAACTAAGGAGAAGTAAAATTGAGGACACATAAGAAAGGAGAGGCTGGCAGAAAAGGAATGGTGAGAGCTCATGAGGGGGCGGGTCCACCGGGGCAGGAGGTTAAAACGAACTGCCCGTCTACCATATAACCCCTGTCTTAATCCTGGGGCTTCACTTAAGTAGCAACAGATCTGGGACTAGAGATGTCTGTTCATTCATTCAAGAGATATCAATTGATTTATTTCATTTAATAAGTATCAAGTATCTTCTAAACATCAGACATTATTCTAGGCCCTGGGGTAAAACCTGGAATGAGGTAGACAGAGGCCTAAATACAAGATTAAAACTATAAAACTCTTGGGAAAAAAAAAGAGCAAATCTTCTTGACTTTAGATCAGGCGATGGTTTCTTGGATATGACATCCAAAGCAGAAGGAACAGAAGGAAAAAAAAAACGTAAGTTAGACTTCAAAAATCTAAACTTTCAGAAAGCTTTAAGAAAGTGAAAGGCCAGCCCACAGGAGGGGAGAACATGTTTGGAAGTCATATATCAACAAGAGACTCTAACTCAGAATACATAAAAAACTCCTACCACTCGGCAGCAGAAAGACAAACAACAGAATTTAAAAATGGGCAGAGGACTGAAGAGACATTTTTTCAAAGAAGATACAGGAATAGCCAGTAAGTGCATGCAAAGATGTTCAACATCAGGAATCATCGGGGAAATGCAAATCAAAACCACAATGAGATACCACCTCACACCCATCAGAGTGGCTATGATAAAAACAAAAACAAAGCCAGAAAATCGGCAATGTTGGGGAGGATGTGCACAAGCTGGGGCCCTCATACGCTGCTGGTGGGAAAGTAGCATGGTGCGGCCAACTGTGGAAAACAACTCGGCAGCTCCTCACAACGTGAAGCAGAGTTACCACGTGGCCCAGCAATTCCATCCTTGCCGTATATACACTCGAGAAATGGAAACACACGACCACACAAAAACTTGTTCAGGAATAGTTAGTTATATTGGCGTTATTCATAATAGCCCCCAAATGGAAACAGCTCAACCCAATGCCCATCAACTAACAAGTAGAGAAATAAAATGGAATATTATTAGGCCGTAAAAAGGAATGAAGTATTGATACATGTTGCAACATGGATCAACCTTGAAAACATGTTAAGTGAAAAAAGCCAATCATAAAAGGCCACATGTTGTATGATCTCATTTATATGAAATGTCCAGTATAGGCAAATCCATGCAAAGAGAAAGTGGATTAATGATTGCTGGGAGCTGGGGTGGGTGGGGAGGCCAATGGGGGACCTGCTAATGCATAAGGGTTTTTTTTCAGGGATGGTGACAATGTGCTGAAATTAGATAGTGTGGGTGGCTGCACAATTCCATGAATACACAAGCAACTGAATGTGTACTTTAATGGGGTGAATTTATGGTATGTGAATTTTATTTCGATAAAGCTATTGTTAAAAAAAAATAAGATGGAAGCAGTCTGAAAAAGAAAAAAAAAAGGCAGTCTGAAGACAAAGAAAAAAAACTAAGATGGTACATGTTATTCACTCTCATGGAGTTTATGGCCCAGTCAGACGGAGAGTCGGCCATCAAAGGATGAGGCAATTGCGAAATTTCAAACCTTGATCAACACTACAGAGGGAGATTGCGGGCCCTCCCTGTCTTCTCTGAGGGAGGGCAGGTCTGGTGAAGGCAAAGCCTGGTGGAGATTTCATGCTGGGACCTCTTCTCTACTGGCTTGTCCCCCGAGCCGGGGGGCCAGGACACAACCCCTCAGTAGCCCTAGAGTGGTGCACAGGGAAGGTGCCCAAGGCCTGAATCAATTATTTCCTGTCCCCAACATTATCCATGAAGAAGCTGACTTTGAAAAAATCCTGTAACCCCAGGGCTTTCCTTAACTAGCAACAGATCTGAGACTAGAAGAATTTTAATGTATTCTTTCCCTCAATCTTTAAAAAAAAATTTTTTTAAATCAAGGAGAAAACTTTTGGGGGGGGAGGTAATTAGGATTATTTATTTATTTATTTATTTATTTATTTATTTATTTATTCATTCTTAATGGAGGTAGTGGGGATTGAACCCAGGACCTCGTGGGTGCTAAGCACACACTCTATCATGAGGTACACCCTCCCCCACCCAGAGAAAATCTTTTTTAATAGTTTATTTTTTATTGAAATAAAGTTGATTTACAATATTGTGTTAGTTTCATGGGTACAGCAAAGTGATTCAGATATGTATTTTTTTCAGATTCTTTTCCATTACAGGTTATTATAAGATATTGAATATAGTTCCTTGTGCTGTATGGTAAATCCTTGTTGTTTACTTATTTTATATAGTAGTGCGTATCTGTCCCTACTCTCAATTTATCTACCCCTCCTTTCCTCTTTGGTAACCAAAAGTTTGTTTTCATGTCTGTGAGTCTGTTTTGGTTTTGTGAATAAACACATTTGTAAATTGTTTTTTAGATTCCACATATAAGTGATATCATATAACATGTCTTTCTCTGTCTGACTTACTTCATTTAGCATGATAATCTCTAGGTCCTTTCATGTTGCTGCAGATGGAAATATCTGATTCTTTTTTATGGCTGAGTAGTATTCCATTGTATAAATATACCACAACTTCATTATCCAGTCATCTGTCGATGGATATTTAGGCTGTTTCCATGTCTTGGCTATTGTAAATAGTGCTGCTATGAACACTGAGGTGCAGGTGTCTTTTTGAAGTAGGGTTCCTGCTGGATATATACCCAGGAGCGGGATTCCTGGGTCATAGGGTAAGTCTGTTTTTAGTTTTTAAGGAACTTCATACTGTTCTCCATAGTGGCTGAACCAATTTACATTCCCACCAACAGTTTAGGAGGGTTCCCTTTTCTCCACACCCTCTCTAGCAGTTATCATTTGTGGACGTTTTGAATCATGGAGAAAATCTTGACGTCTTCAAGGAAAACACCTGGCTTCTTCTTTATTATTCATCCCCACCATGGGACTTCAAGCTCCTTGAGGGTAGGGGTCTGGGTCTGGGTCTGCTCTTGCTCAGGCTTGTTCTGCCAGCACCCTAGTGTGACTAGGACATGGTCAGGTGCCCGGAAACTAAATAGTGAAGGAAGGGAGGGGGAGAAGAAAGGCGGGGCTGCTGTGGTGAGAACTGAATGCCCTGGGCCCAGAGGAAGGTGTGGCCATCCGTGTAAAGTACCAGGGCAGTTGGGACTTCAAGGAGAAGAGATGTACCTAGCTCAGTTCTGGAAGGATGTCTAGGAATTAACCTGTTGAAGACGCAGGAAGGAAAGGAAGCCAGCAGGTTAAAGGCCACAATGGGGTCCCGTCTGGGGAAGCTGGGGCCTTGGGAACATCCAGACAGACAGGGTGTGCTTGGACAAAGCAGGCTACAAAGGTGGGCAGAGTCGCAGCCTGTACATCCTGCTAAGATATCCCGCCTGCCCTGAGGGTAATGGGGAGCCACTGAAGGTTTTAGAGCAGGGCAATGCCACGGGCAGAACCAGAACAGCCACGGGTGAAGATCTCTCAGCCAGGCTTCCGACAGCTGGCAGCAGCAGCCAAAGTGGGTATGCAGCCCCTGACTCCCAACAACAGCCCCCACAAGCTTGCAAGCTACTTGGGTATTTCCTTTAAGCCGAGGGCTGTAAGGCTGTTGACAAGAAGCAACCACAATCACAGAGCCTTGGTGTTCCATAGGCAGCAGCTGCCGGAAATTAGCCAATGACCTTTGGCCAGGGCCGCGCTGCCCTCACCAAGGCAGTTCAAAGGCCCCAAACACCAGAAGTCAGATATGCAACTTCCCTCCCAGCTCAGTCGGCCAAGCTTCACTCCCTCCCTCTGGGGATTTTCCCTTGTGTCAAGAGAAGCTCAAATATTGCAGGTCTTTCCTCTGAACACTCTACTGTGAAAAGGGCCTACTGGCTCGTGCAGATTTTCACAGGAAGCCATCAGTGCATAAAAGAAACAGTCACGGACCTTTGGGATGGGTAACAAGAGCTCAGGAAGGAGCTAGCAGTAGGGCTTCCTGCACAGGATGGTTTCAAGCGTAGACAGGCCTCTGAAAGCTGGGACGACAGCTTCCTGCCATGCTCCCGTCCCCATTCCTGCTCGTCCCTCAGACACTGCTATAAACGTCACTTCCTAAGAGAGGCTGTCTCTGACCCTCATCCTTCCAGATCAGG